CGCTGGGGAAGAACTTCTGTGATGAAGAAGTGGTGGCGCAATTCGATGTTCATCTCACTGGAACAACCGTCGAAACTCTCGTGGTAGAGTTTGATCAAGCCAAGTTTGAGGAGGTTATCTCCTCCGGATCCCTTAGCCCTAAGGCTATGCGCAAGATCCACAAAGTCTCCAAGGTGACTAAATCTCCAACTGTTGCTGGAGTGCCGAAGAAAGTCCTCTCCTTTGGCCAAAATTCATCAAACAGCCCCTCCTCTGAACGCGGCCCTCAATGGCGCGTTTTACAGCCAAAACGCGGACCTCAAGCCTTCGTTGAACGCGAACTTCAACTTCGCGTTTCCCAGTCAAAACATGACCCTCGCGTCGACAATGAAGAACGCGACCCTCGCGTTGCCAAACTAAAATGCGGACCTCGCGTTTCAAGTGCCAAACGCGACCTTCGCGTCTCAAGTGCCAAACACGACCTTCGCGTCTCAGGATAGCAAACGCGGACGCTGACTCGCGTCCCTTGTATGCCGCGGTCTTTGCTGACCCTGCTCTCTTTGGAGTGTGGCAGCGAGATCCCCGATAACTCTGCGTTTAGGCAGCGACTTAGATTGAGGGTGGCGGATATAAGAGTTTATGGATATCCAAGGGCCATCTCAAACAAGATCCATACTTCACAAGAGCCAGTCCTGTGCTACTCATGGACATCGAGGGGGGTATCCAGTTCCAAAACCTCGTACGTATCAGTGAACTGTAATTATCTCCTGAATTCTTGTACAACAGATATCGGAGAGGTGGTTCATTATCGACGAGGAAAGACGAGATGCAGCAGTCATTCGTTCATTCCATGTGTGAATGGTGTTCCTCATAATAACAGACGCGTCTCTTGGCGAGCTATCAATGCTGCTCCGATTATGCGGCCAAACCTATTGGTGTTCGACCAATTAACGGACGTTGCTTTGTCTCACGAACGACATTCGCACAGGAGAAAGTCTCAGAGACCGATATCCTGAGGTCACGATCAATGTGATCGGCAGAGGGAAAGCCTCCGGGTCCTGTTCCGATGACTCTGAGGAAAGTCGTTCGCGCGTCAGAGAAATCTGCTAACGAGTTTGAGGAGTTTACGACGCACTCGGACTGGAATAGGAGGCATTCCCCTGTACACTATCAAGAGTGTTGCCAGGGGACCAATTTCAATTGATGAAGCACTCTTACAGCACATTGCAGAGAAGGGTCAGTCCCACTCATCAAGCTTTTTTGGATTGAACAGATGAGAGCTCAGTATTAATTTACTAGAACGGGAACCATTGAGATATTGCCGAAGAGATCTTGACGAGAGGAGGCCCATGCTATAAGATCTGAGCAGTCATTGAGGAGGCGTTCGACTGAATCATGGCGCGGTGTTTTGGACTCATCGGTCACAGACTAAGGCCAATTCAGAAGACATAGTTGCGCCGACTTCACACGGCAACGAATTGTCAACGTTACGGAAGACGAACGTCTTTCATCCGACCTCACACAAGCAAGGGAAGGAAGAGTGGTAGATGACACGGCCTTTGACCAAAACAGGCCACAACCTGGATCATTCTTAATGAAGGAAGAGAGACTGAGAACGAGTATAATCTCCAGTTCTGCCAAAATGGCCAAGAACTTTGGAGCCCGCCTCAATGCCATAGCGCAATCAAAAGCGAGCTCCAAGACGAGGGACGTTGCTCAGACCCTATCCTGCCGAATGGGATGCAGCCCCTTATCCTCTAAAATTTGAGGTCCCGACGCTACAAACTTTTGACGGCACAGGATCACCGAACCAACATATCTATCATTTCAAGTCACAGACTGGGAATGTGATATCAAACGATGCCATACTGCCATACTGGCTCGATTGTTCATTAGCACCCTCAAGGGAGTTGCCTTTGAATGGTTCAGGAAACTGCCTGCAGGATGTATCCAAAAGTGGGCAGATTTAGAGAGACTCTTTCTGTCAAGATTTTTTGAAGAGGATACAGAAGTCTCCATCCATACCCTTCTCGCCACTAAGCAGAAGAAGAGGGAATCCGTCAAAGCCTTCGTCAAAAGGTTCCGAACCATGGCTCTCCGGTGTTCATCAGGTATGACACAGTCTACTTTAGTAGAGACCTGTCGACACAACTTGCAGACCGACCTTCTAGCCCGAATCGGAGTTGCAGAATGTCGTTCTTGGAGACAACTAATCTCTCAAGGCGAACAGGCTCAAAAGATTATTGCCAGGATCAAAGCTGAAGAACAAAGTAGGCAGGATCAACCTGAGCAATCGGACCAAGCCCAATCTCCTCAGTCAGAAGGGGAAGATACTACGACCACTGAAGCTAATCCTCTTCAGTAGGATGTCGGGTCTCCAATAACTATCACGTTAACAATTACCTCTGATAGTCAAACTCGCTAGATAATGACTCACTAGGCGATGTGTCATGTCTTCTCTTTTCCCCCTGCACTTGTTCAAGACTGGGGGTTGGTTTATTGGTCGTTTATTGGATTATGAATAATAAATTTTCTGAGTTGTTATGTTTAATAGAATACCTCTGTCAACCATAAAATCTACCAGAACTATCAAGTCCATCAACTTGTCAATACACTTCAATAGGATGGTAGGTTCACTAAAACTATCACGTTAATGATCACCTCTGATAGTCTGTTTTCTCCAAATTCCCCCCATCAATCCTCTTCAGGTAGGATGACGGGTCTATCAAAACTATCACGTTAATGATTACCTCTGATTGTCCATTTCCTCTAAATTCCTCACCAATCATCTTCAAGTAGGATGACAGGTCTACCAAAACTATCACGTTAACCGTTACCTCTGATAGTCCATTCCCTCCAAATTCTCCTGCCAATCCTCTTCAATAGGATGGTGGGTCCACAAAACTATCACATTAACAGTTACCTCTGATAGTCAAACTCATCTGATAATGGCCTACCTGGTAATATGCCCCTATTCTGACTTCATGGATAGTGCCTCACTAGGCGATGTGCCTTGTCTGTCTCTTTTTCTTCCCCTGCTAAGTCTTAATCAAGACTGGGGGTTGGTTACTTGGAATCCATTGGATTAAGAGTAACGAACCTTTCACATCGTCAAGTTAACATTATACTTCGGACGATCATCACCCCCACAGGGTATGAATGCAGCCTGCATCACTCCTAATTTGTCATGTTAACAATATACCTCTGACAACAATCAACTTATCATCCTTGACAATAGGATGATAGGTTCCCAAAGCTGCTCAAATCGCAATCTTCCCCAGCAAGACACTAAGTCTTCAAAATCTTATTCAAATCACGAGCATCAAAACTCATCGCTTCTGATGATAAACTCACCTAGCAAGTCTCCCCAGCGAGACGCTAATTCCCAAAACCTTGTGCAAGTCACAAGTACACGAATCCTGTCACGTTAACATCAAACCTCTGACAATCCACTTATCAATCCTCGTCAAAAGGATGATAAGTCTACAAAGTTGCTCCAATCGCAACATCCTCCTATCACGTTAACATCAAACCTCTGACAATCCACTTATCAATCATCTTCAATAGGATGATAAGTCCATAAAGTTGCTCCAATCGCAACATCATCCTGTCACGTTAACACTAAACCTCTGACAAATCAACTTATCAATCCTCTTCAAAAGGATGATAAGTCCACAAAGTTGCTCCAATCGCAACACAAATCTTGTCACGTTAATATCAAACACCTCTGACAATCCACTTATTAATCCTCGTCAATAGGATGATAAGTCCACAAAGTTGCTCCGATCGCAACAAATTCCCGTCAAGTTAACATCACACCTCTGACGAATCCACTTATCAATCCTCTTCAAAAGGATGATAAGTCCACAAAGTTGCTTTGATCGCAATAAATTCTTGTCATGTTAATCTCACACCTCTGATAATCCACTTATCAATCCTCTTCAATAGGATGATAAGTCCACAAAGTTGCTCCGATCGCAACAAATTCCCGTCAAGTTAACATCACACCTCTGACGACCAAATACACTTATCGACTCTCCTCAATAGAGCAATAAGTCCACAAATTTGCCCCGATCGCAATATCTTTCCAGTCAAGTTAACATCACACCTCTGACGACCAAATCAACTTATCGGCTCTCCCCAATAGAGCGACAGGTACGTCCATAAAATACTGTTAGGTTAACATCACACCTCTAACAGTCAAACCTCCCCAATGAACTTGTTAATCCTTTTTCAACAAGAATAGCAAGTTTTTATTATGAAATCCCCAGCGGATTAAAGATTTTCTGGAATTATCCTAGTGATAGTGAAGAAAATTTCTGAATTTCACTCTAAGTGAAAATTCATGCCTCTGGCGCCTCTAACTTTCTTTCAGTGTTTTCAAGTAACACAGGAAGAAATAGTGGCAAAGTCTACGTATTCAAACATCGTAGCACCAAAAATCCATGTCTTACACACATGGGGGATTTTATCTCGATCCCTAATTAGAGATAAGTCTGCATCTAACACATGCTGCCGGGTAGCCTATTCCCGTAATAATAGCAAAGTCTACGTATTTAACATCGTAACGGGTCGTTATTAATAACATCAAAATCCATGCCTTACACGCATGGGGAATTTTATCCCGAATCCTAAGTAGGGATAAGCCTACGCCTAACACGCGTCGCCGGTTAGTCTTTCACCGTAAAAAGAACAAAAGTCTATGTATTCAATATCGTAGCGGGTCGTTATTAATAACGCTAAAATCCATGTCTTATACGCATGGGGAACCTTATCCCAAATCCTAAGTAGGGATAAGCCTACGCCTAACACAAATCCATGTCTTATACGCATGGGGAACCTTATCCCAAATCCTAAGTAGGGATAAGCCTACGCCTAACACGCGTCGCCGGTTAGTCTTTTTCCGTAAAAAATGACAAAGTCTATGTATTCAAAATCATAGCATCAAGACTAAGAGAGTTCATTCTCTTAGCATAACGTTACATGTGGAACGGACTTATCAAACGGTAGTTGGTAAAGGCTTATCAAATCCGTTGATGGCTGAGGGTTTGCCAAAAATCCTATGCATGTTTAAAGGCCCATCAGCTTAATGGACGTGAGCCGAGACTTGAAACAGATAAGCTAAAGATAAGTTTCAAAGACTTAGTCAAAAATACACGGAAGCCACTTCCATGTCTCAAGTTAAAACGCCGGGGTCAGACCCGCATTGCAAAAATCATGACGCCGAGGTCACACCCGGGTTCCAACTTTAAAAACGCCAAGGTCAGACCCACGTTACAAAAATCATGACGCCGAGGTCACACCCGGGTTTCAAATTCAAAACGCCGAAGTCAGCCCCGCGTCTCAAATTCAAAACACAGGGGTCCACCCCCGCATTCCAGAAGCAGGATTATGACGTATACCTTCACACAGGTCCTACATGGCAAATCCTTTCAACCAAGATACCTTCGAAGCGAGTGCAGAGAACGACTCCTTTACAACAAGGAATCAACAGCTCCAGGATCAGAGTTGAGATCCAAAGTATTCTGAAAATTCGTCCCAGTCAACCGCGAACTTTCGAAAACTTTGGAGGGGGTTCTGTAGGCTGTCTAAAAATCACAATAGATAGCTTATCCTCCATCAAACACCGATGATGGGAGTTACAATCTGACGACTTCCAGAAGGCTACAATTTGAAGACTTTCACGTAGATCGCTGAAGGTTACAATCTGACGACCTTCACGACAACCGATGGAAGCTATAATTCAACAGCCTTCACAATCAACATCGGGAGTTACAATCTGACGACTCTCATATTCTCAAGGAGCCGAGACGAAGATTACAAGACAATGATCTTTGCAACGCTATGACAAAAGAGATTACTTTGTGATAATCTCTTCAAGACAAGACGCGGAGGTCCTCCTCGTGTGTCAACATCAAAACGCCGGGGTCGAACCCGCGTTACAACATCAAAACGCGAGGGTCGAACCCACGTTACAACATCAAAACGTGAGGGTCGAACCCACGTTACAACATCAAAACGCCAGGGTCAAAACCGCGTTACAACATCAAAACGGCGGGGTCGAACCCGCGTTACAACATCAAAACGCGAGGGTCGAACCCACGTTACAACATCAAAACGCCAGGGTCAAACCCGCGTTACAACATCAAAACGCTGGAGTCGGACCCGCGTTACAACAAGCGAAACGTGAGCGACCCTCGCGTTCTGGATGTTCAGTCAACACCCAACCTCGCGTCTCAATCCTAAGACGCGAGGTTAGGGTCCTGAACGCCAGGTTGGGCGTTTGACTCATTCAAATATGAGTCGAACGGTTTCAGGACCGTTTTCCCCACGATCTGAGGAAATCACGCCCACTTAGGAGCGGATTTAGAGGGCAGTTACACCCCCTTAATCCAGTATAAAAGCGAGAAAACTCAACTGAGTTCAGGGTTGGATTTTTCTTAGCTTGAATCGACCATTGAAGGCTGGCTTTTTGGAGCTGAGAATTGGCAGCAACAGGGGAGATCATTGGGCGAACTTCGGAGGAGATCGGCATCATCCTTCAAGGAAGATCATCTTCAACGTTCGGCAACAGGAGCTTCCTCATCCTTGGCTATTAACCGATTTTCGGTTTAAATCAACTCTTTTTCAAGAGTTAAAACTCGTTCAGAGTTATCAACTCGACCAGAGTTCTAAAA